TTGACATCCTATAGACCAATTAGCCTACTTCCTTCTTTCAAAGATTTTCAAAAATCCTTTTAAAACGAATCCTACCCTAGTTTGGTTTTCGCTCTCAACATTCTACTGTTCAACAAGGACTCTGAGTTGCTGATCATATTTCATCAGCCCTAGAAAACAAGGAATTCTGTTCGGGTGCATTTCTGGACATTGCACAGGCATTTGATCGGGTATGGCATGCTGGATTGCTTTTCAAGCTAAAAATCCATTTACCCCAGTCCTAGTCCTCTGATCCTACTTCTCTAACTGTTCTTTTCGAGTTTGCTGTGGAACAGAATTTTCCAATATCTATCCAGTTATAGCTGATGTTCCCCAAGGCAGTATCTTGAGTCCCGTGCTTAACATCCTCTTTACCGCTGACATACCTGTTTATTCCGATACCTTCCTTGCAACATTTGCTGATAGCACCCTAATATTATCATCCAGCTCTGATCCCATAGCAGAAATAGCATCCTTAAATCTGCAAAGGAATCTCTCCTTGATTGAGCACTGGTGTAATAACTGGCATATTAAAGTAAATTAATCCAAATGCCTACATATTACCTTAACACTCCTGTCCACCAGTACACTTCCTTTTTAATTCCATCCAGCTTCCTTTCTCAGACACAGTTCAATATCTTGGCTTTCTTTTAGGCTGAAGACTAACATGGAACCCACACACTAGACTTAAAAGACAAGAACTCAGCCGATGATATGGCCAACTATATAGACTACTGAACAGAAAATCTAAACTTTCTATTGAAAACAAATTACTTATCTACAAGATAATCAAACCTCTGATATAAAATTTCATCAATATTTCGACCAAGATGACAGCTCCTGGGCAGCATCTGACGAAGATAGAGCTGAGGAGTTCGCCAGACATCTCTCTAATACATTTATTGTGGAGATACGGATTTGAACTGTGGGAGACAGCAACATTTTCTAACGTCGAACGCATTCTATCCTTTTAATCTAAAGTCCTTCAAACAATAGTTGATGCTCCATTCTTTATAACCAACAAAACCCTACACCATGACCTTTTTTCCAGGTTTCCATTACGCATTGCTGACAATATCCTTTATTACTAAGTGGTTTTAAATACTCTACATTCTGTGATATCTTTTATGTGCTATGTGCTGACTCATCATAGACTTAAAGTGTGTTTTATATTTACTCAGGTCACATTTGGGTACATAGTAAATTTGGTACCAGTTCGGTTTTGCAACTCTTTCGGCCATGTTGGTTGCTGATAGGTTATCCACAATGTTTGAGATATGGTTAACAACAGATGGCACCAGGCAGCACCACTATTGCAGAGGTGTAGTCTTGTCCCCTCCACCTCACTTTCATTTAAAGTAAATATAAAAATTATATAGTTTAAGTTACATAATACCCGCCTTTTTTTATAATTTGCCTCTTTTTTCCACCATTTTCACTGCGTAGGAAATAAATATCGATTGAACATGCATTTGATTTTCCATGTTATCAACATTTTAAGATATTACAAATTAATTGTTTTTTCCATTAAACTAATATTAATATTATTTATGCTTCTAGTTTTTATGTATTGATTTTATTATTTTCAACTTCAAGATTTATCTTTAATAATGCTTTGCATTTTGATTATCCTTTATTAAAGAAGTTGGTTAACTTTTTTTTTTTTTTAATTGTGACACTTTATCTGTAATTGTATTATTTCTAATAGCATTATTCTAAAACGCTCTTGATTACTTCCAGAAGAATTTCCAATTCATACAGATTTCAAGTCTTCAAAAGTTAGAACAATTTAAATTTTTGTTTCCCACCAATGATCAATGACCAATCACAAACCTCTATACTTTTTCGGAAAAGTATCCACAATAACTAGGAATAACCAGGGGTGCCCATCCCCTTCCAAAGATCGATGGTGCATGAACCACCCCTCTCTCTCCAAAAATTGTATTTCTCTCCTCTTCATAAAAACAGTGCTAGCTAAAGTAGGATTAGACAAATCGTAGATCATATACAATTACACTTGCTATGGTCTGTCCCATGTTTTCCTCCTAGCTCTCTGTTTTTAAACTTCTCACTCGGAAATTTATAGCCCCGTTGAAATGTGCCCCCTTTAAAAATTTTGATGGCTCAACTTGAAACGCCATGAAACTCCCTTCTGGGCACCCCTGGAAATTACAATACTTAGGAAGCTAGGAATTCAATTAAAATCCATTTGGATATTCAAATGGAAAGTAAAAATTGTATTGAACAAGACATTGATGCAAAAATTTAAAGTAATTTACAAAACGGTTGTGATACTAGAAAAATAATAAATGAAATCCTAACACATTATCTATGTCCACTATTAATACAATTAAGGAAGAATTAAACAATTGAAAATTTCCTATAAGGGTTTTAATGCTGGCTGAGAGTTATCCTTTTCAATTATATGTTACTTATCTCTACTCCTTTTGAAAATAAAGTATTGCATAGAATATTCGGACCGAAGAAAAATGAGTTAACTGGAGAGTTCAGAAGGTTGCACAATGCCGAGTTGTGTGAACTGTATCCAGTTAATATAATTGAGGTGATTACTTTGCGGAGAATCAAATGGGCTTGTAAAATGATTGGGCATAGATATTTGCTGTACCGAATGGTAAATGTCTGAGAGTTAGACCGTAGCGAAGGTTGTGTTAAACTAAACTATGTACATTATAAAGTATGAACCATGAGAGTACAGCCTCCCCTTCTCTTAACTCCCCACAATCACCTACCACTCCTTTCATATACAAATCTCTCTCCTATATTTCTATTCTCTCAAATAATATACAAAAATTCCTTAAATCAACTATAACCAACTTAAGTCTTGGCCCCAAGTCCCATGGGAAATTATCTTTCCTTTTCACCAACTTGAAGGACCCCATACTTTTACAACACCGGTCTAATGTAGGTTACCGGATATCTTGCTGTACAACTAAGTATAATTATAATTATTCATTTTTGTTTTTATTCACATTTTACTTCTATCTATAATTTCTTAATTATATTTTATATGTATATGTCTATATTTATAATTTATTAGTTCATAGAAATAGTATTTTCCCTTGTATCCATCCATATCTTCAAATATTAGATACTGTTATATTCTAGATTTTTTTTTTACTTTTACTACATACCCCCTCACCATTCCCCAACCAGGTCTGCAAATTTTCCTAATACTTATCCAGGTTTTCCAGTTCTAAGTGAAACTCCTTGCTGAACACACCTGTAAATCTCTAATTTTATTTACTTATTTATTTTATTTTTTTTCTCCACATCCCTTTATGTCCATTATTTCATATTATGTCCTTTTTCCTTTTCTTCCAATCTCTCCTGTAGATCTGTAGGAGTATATTCACAATTGCATATATTATGCTACAACAATTGTTACCATCTATTTACTTCAGTTTAGGATCTTGTTACTTAGCTTACTCTGTTTATACAACTTATTGTTCTTAATATTTTAATTTACTTACTGTTTTTAATTTTAAAAAGTTTATTCACATTGTTTATAATTTTTTAAATATGATGTAACTTCCACAATTCTCTATATCTTTTTCTAACTTGTCCGTTCTAGCCCTGAAGAAGACCTGCAAAGTCGGCTTGAAACATTGGCTTTTAATAAAATAGTTTTGCCACTATTTAGTCTATTTATGACCGCCATCCCGGACCATCTCCTTTCTTAATAATACAACAGTCAACTATTCAGTATTCAATATAAATATTTGGGGAAATATCTTAATTAAATCGATAGAATTCAGCACGTTAATTTATTCATCGATTGAATCACCAATGGATCAGGGGTTCTATTGCCTTTAGGAGTCGATAGTTCCACTGAATGAAACCCCAGTGTTGTTATATCTCAATTTACTTTACAAATTTATATTCAGATTACTTTCTGTCTATATGGCAAGTTTCAAAGCCCATCAATGAAAATCAATAAGGAAATTCAACTCATAATGATTCAGCGGTTCCATCGGCTTTTGGAGTCGATAGATCCGCTGCATGAAACCTCAGTGTTCATATGGGTAAGTATTTAATCGATAAATTTTGGGTGTGTTAATTTCAATTTACTTCACATATTTATATATTTTCTTTCTGTCTATATGAGGGAATTTCAAAAATCGGTGCTGAGTTTGTCTATGACATTGGAATCAGTCTCTGAACTGAGCGAAACAACGCCACAGATGAGTTCAGCTCTGAGTTTAGGAACTTGCCTTATTTATATCTGTTTTGAAATTCAGCAATTCAGTAGTTTTTTAACATGTGGGTATTTCTTTAAACATTTTTTATTGTTCATGTGTTTGATAACCCATCAGAAATGTTAAACTTCAAATGGAACCCATCAGGTCATTCCTAAACTGAGCATAAATCGCTGTTCATCGCTGCTGGATTTAATCCATTGATGGGATCAATCGATGTAATTAGCAATGAATTTAGGAACTTGCTCTTTTTGCTATTAAGTATTGTTAGTTTTTAAAATTTAATTTTAAAAACTAACAATAAGAAGATGGCCTCGTGATCTCCTTATGTAGACATATTATTAGACTGCTACCTGTAGATAGCGTTTTCAAGTGATTGTATTCTTGTGTACACATTTACTTGATGTATTTATATTGTAATACAGTTGTAAATATCTTGAATAAATAGTTAACAAAAAAAATTAATTTTTGTAAAGATTTAATATTGCCACTCAGTGGTACCATTTATCTCCATTTCCATTCATGTTTTTCATGTTATATAATGTTCAAGCTCTACAAATATTTTAATATTTTTATACTATATACTTGTTAACAAAAAGTTTAAGAACTTTTTTAGTTCTAAAAATTGATTATTAAGATCTATATCTTGATAGATTTAGATTTTCAGATTCGAGCTCTAGTTATTACTATTTCTAGGTTATTATTTAAGTTAATTATTGTTATTTTTTATTATGCAGCTAACATTTTGTATTTATTCAATTACAGTAAAGGCTGGAGGAATGCGTATTACCCAACATAAAACACCGAAGTCTCATGATGTCAGGCTGGATGATCCAGATTTAAATAATGCTGCATTAAAAGTCTCCACAAGGTAATCAACTAGGCTAACAGTTCTTTCCAGAAGTCCGACCTTTTGTTTTTGTATTGAGTTCAATAGTTTTTAAATCTGATTTTAGCACTGATTTAATTTATTTTTCCTAAAATTTTTAGGGTATTGTAAATTTTTATTGAATATAAATTGTTAGATTATTAGGCAAAATAGCTTGTCAATGGGATGTTTACACGTTTTGAGGTTCACTGAGTCCAAATAACCTAGTCCTGCAAAATGGTGCGTGTGTATGTGGTTGTTTATGTCAGTTTATAGGGCTTAAATGACTAATGTTCAACATGTCTTCCTCTAATAACTTTTGAAAGAATTTGATAATTAAAAAATTGATAAAAAAGAGAAAATGTTTATTTAGGTCGAAAACGAATCTCCATAAATATTAGTCAGAAGGTATATGTATAATATATCATTGAAAATCCGAGAATTTTAGAAAAAAACAATACCTAATATAGAAAGTCGTAGAAGGAAATGGAGAGTGACAAAAAATTATAAATAGTAATTTGGGAAAACTAATTTTATTTAATGGTGATCACGTGTTTTCAAGGAAATTAAATGAAATTTACTAACTAAATGTAAACTTTTAAAATTTCTTTTAGTTTGAAAAAAGTATTTAAAATCTACCTAATCATAGCAATGAAATTATTAAAAAAACTTGTGTGAAAGAAAAAGTGAAATATAAAAATATTTCATGGATGTATAAAGCATATGTTTATAACCTTAAATACATTTACTGTAGTTTAATAATTCTAGATCTGATATATTTAAATAATTAGGTATCAATGTCCGTTTATTCCAAAATATTGTCATATAATCTTTAGAAAATTAAATTAGTGAATAATTTGATGAATTTTTCCTTTGTGAAATCGCAACTTTATCCACTTAAAATTAGTGTGACAACTTTTGACATATCTATGACAGGAAATGAACATCTCCTAATTTCATTTAAGTAAACTTAACTTTACGTATTTTAATGGAAAATAACAGTTAAATAATTAATAGGAGTACAATCCATAATCATTTATAGGTTGAATATACAGATGTACTTTCAAATCTCTCTAGGCATATGTGTATACCTAGTCCTGTCACAAATATTGTTGCAAGGAATTATATACAGATTTCAATATAAAATTATAGAGAGTAAAACAAAAAAGATTTACTCAAAATGTCCTCCTTCCTCCTTCCAGCCATCCTCCTTTTGCCTTGACACAGACATTTATTCTCTGTGGCCAGTCACTAATAGCAGCACGCAGCACTTCTTGAGGAAAGCACTCAACTTCTTGGACCAGAGATTGTTTGAGCCTTACCAAGTTAGGGTATGCTCTGTGGCATGCCATCCTCTCCAGTTCGGACCAAAGCCGATTATCTAGTGGTTTGAGATCACAGCTTCCTGAGGGCCAATCCATGGCAGAGATGAACTCTGTAATGTTCTTTTGCAGCCATTCCTGAGTTGATCTGGCCTTGTGAGCTGGAGCGGGATACTGCTGGAAAACCCAATGACTTCCAGCAAACAGAGTATCATTTAGAGGCTTGACAAGAGGTTTCAAAATATCGTCCTGATAGTTTTTAGCAGCTGTTTTAACTTCTTTTTCACAGAAATGTAGATTTGTGGTGCCATAAAAGCAAACTCCCCACCAAACCATCATTGAGGAAGGGTAATGTGATGATCTCTTTCCATTCTTTCAATGACTTCCTGGGCTTCTTTAGAGCTGTGTGCGTACACACGATCATTTTGGCGATTTTAAATTTTTCTTCAATTGTAAAAATTTTCTCATCCCTAAACAAAATCTTTCGATGAAGACCATTGGTGTAACGGCCAAGGAGCACTTTGCATCTATCCACTCTAATTTTTTTTGGAAAGTGGTTAGCCTTTGTCCTATCATTCTTCGAAATGCCCTCATCCTAAGGTCACTTTTTATTATGCGAGACATTGATCTGACGGGAATTCCCATTTCTTGAAACATGGTTTGTTGTTTTTGATTGGGATTTGTTCTGATTTCGAGCAGCCACTGCTCTCACTGCATTTGCCGTTCTCACAGTGCTGGAATGGACAGGATGAGGTCTGTCACATACTGATAGGGTCTCGATATAGTGCAGTACTCGAATATATGGCTGATACCCAAAGGTCTCAAAGTGTCATAAATCTCTGACCATTTTCCAACTTTTTGTTTGGCGATCACAGCTATTCAGTTTTCTTTATCACCCCACTCCATGTTACCCACCCCACTGAGCGAAAGAAAAATACAAACTAATTGGGATTATTATCCTGACAAGTAAAGAAAATAACCTGATAGAGGTAAGGATTATCTAAATAATACCCAAGGTTGCAAAGTTCAACTTTTGAAACAGTATTTATCGCAGAACTAGGTATAGCTCAGCTCAGAGACTGGAGTTATTGGGTTTACAAAAACAGATGCGGTAATTATATTTTTATTGTCTACCGTTGATATAATTCATAAGGTTTTTGTTATTTTATTGGTCTTAATTATTTGTTAGCTGTAAGCTTTAAGCTGTAACTTTGTTAAAAATGCCCTTGAAAAATTTTATAATAGCTCAAAATTGCCAGAAAATAATTTCTATTCAAAGTAGAGCGGTAAGTGAAAGTTGTGTATTGCGCAAACCAGATTTTTTAAATTAGTATCAGTAATTCTAAAGTAAATCAATGAGAAAAATAGTTGCTTTTTAAAGAATTGCATATCAAATGTTCTATATTTTTTATTGAACCATTATAATACTGTAGCATTATAATGGTCTTTGAGTTCTCTTAAGAAATCAACTGTGCTAACTATATTATTTCTACAAAATTTTATATACATTTCTGTTAATAATTCTCACTGATACTGCTTATTCTTGCTAGGCCAAACTGTAGTGAAGTTATTATAGCTTTATTCCAGTGATTATCAATTGAATTAATGATAAAACTATTATCCGTTGTCGAGACAGCTTATTTGAAATAGTGGGTCAGTTTATTTAGAATCAGCCTATTCCTGTTAGCCTCCAGCTAAACAAACAGGTTTGTTATTATGATTGTTGTTGTTTTGTCTTCTAACCTTTTAAATCAATTACAATATTTATTAAAATGGTCAACTGTAAAAATTGTACCAAACCTGCCTTAATGGGGTATATACATGTTTTTATTTTTCCTTTTCTTAAATTCAGTATGTGTTACAGAATATTTAAATAAAAGATATTTATTATTAGATTTGAATTGTTTTAATATCTTTTTGGATTCAAAAGGCATGGCAATTGCAATCTGATGCATTGTGTGGACATTCACAATTTTCATATTTTGGTGGCAAGTTGCACCTTAAATTTTTGCCATGTTTATTCTGCCCACATTAGATACAGACAGCTGTTTTTTATTTTTTGGAAAGAGCTGTAGAATCATAAAATCCCAAACACTTGCAGCAATGTACAGAATTCGGAATGTAAACTGTACTCTGATTCTTTCTTAAGCTATCTGTATGGTCTCCGATGGTTTTGGTTATGGGAACATAGCAATATATTAATTAGTCAGCACTTTTTAAAATTTTAATTCTTACTATATATCTATTATTGCAGTTTATAATTCTTCTTTTATTTCTTTGATTTAAGATATTGGAAGTCGAAACATCTAACCAAGCATTTGCTATAAAAAATATCTTGGCTGAAATTCCTGACAATTTTGTTTCATCCTTGTAATTGATCAGTTGACTACTTACCCATATGTAACATATTTTTATTGACTTAAAAAAATAAATAAATAAAATAAAACAATTAAAATAAAAGTAAGTATTTCTCAAATGTAATTGGTTTTCTAGAGATAGTTATGATTTCTGCAGAATTAAGGGATTGATTGCCTTTATCTAAAACTAAGAAATCCATAACTGTTTCATGGTATATTTAATGATTATATTTTGCCATTTGTCCATAGTCCAGAAAAGGCTGTGACTATCTCTGGAGCTCCTATAAGAGGCAACTCTGACTTCCCGGCAGAAGCTGTGCAGTCATACCATAACAAACCGATGCCATCTCATGAGCAGAATGCTTCTCCTAGGCCTCACATCATCCAGCAGCCTAGAAAGTAGAGACCTTGCTACACTGATCTTATAAATCAGAAGATGAAAATATATATACTTGAATATGCAATATGTTTAAATATATATATTTATATATAAGTTTTATATATGATTTGTGTCAACATGAAATAATTTCCTATAATTGTAATTGTTTGCAATATAATTGCAATATTTTAATTTAAATTCTCCCTGTAACAAAATGTTCCAACCTTTTATATGCATATAGCCACTTCAGTTTCACTTAATATGTGTTTGGGAATGAATGCCTCCAACTTTATGGTCAGGTACTCAAACCCTTTTTGAATACTTGTAGACTGTTTAAATTAGATAAAAAGAACAATGGATGTTAAATGGAAATTAATCTATATTTTATCCAATACATATGGGGAAATAGGGAAGCCAAAGTAATATAATTATTATTAGTTGTTACTGGAAGTTTTGGAGAATCTAAATTTTGATGTTGAATACCATTGAAAACTATGATGATAATAAATATTGGGGAATGCAGGTGATGATTATAGATAGAAGAAAAACTAACTTAATGTTCAACATGCCCAGGCTTGGGATAAAATGTGAGTTGTGGTAAGGAAGAAAATAAAATTATATTCCTCGGCCTCCTCCTCATCTTTCTGCCCCCCTTGTCGGTGAAAAGTCTCCCATTCTATTCTTCCATGTTTAAGAATATCACACTGGAGAAAAAACTTAATGAAATTAGGCTAGCCTTGCTCTAGGGTCTGGCCATATTTTACATCAGTTTTTCCTTTTCTTCGGTAGAGTTGTCTGTTGCAGTCGAGCATGTAATGTAATTCTGACAGACTGCTTGTGCATTTCATTAATTTCAGGAAACTGAAACAAATCGCCCACATAAATCAGCTCTGGTTGATTTACTTTACATGGAGATGTAATGCTGTATCTGCTAGGCTGAAAAATACAGAAAGAAACCAACAATTATCTTTATCAGAGTAACAGAGTATTAAATAAAAGAAAATACTGCTTGTGGAAATATAAAATAGCTTCTGAAATAAATAAATAGATTTTTCCGTTATAGTGAATTGTAAAACCAAAAATGTGAGTAAGTGAAACAATTGAATGAAATGAAACTCGCACTGTTTGATTTGAAAATAATATAAATTAGAAAACTTCAACTTTTTAATAAAAGAATAAAATAAAGAAACAAATGGGATGGAAGATTCCTATTCACCTTCATGAAGGTAAAAACAGGAATAACAAACATTATTGATCGGGTGTCTTGTTATGTGACATCAAGGATTCCGGTGACCATCCACCCTGATAATCTCCTGTTCGTCAAGAACGCATATGCCTTAGAGGCACTTATCTTTTCCTTGAAGAAATCTGAGGGTAAATATATGCACTGAATGAAAAGTATGCTTCTTAATTCAGTGTCTGCAATCTCCATAGTGGAAAATGGCTCTGAATAGTTAAGAGGAGAGAGTGAAGAGATCCTGTTTTTTCTTCACTCGATAAACCTCAGTATTCAACATTCTTCAATCAATAGTCAATATTCTTGCGAAAGTTCTGATGAGGGTGCAAAGAGATAAAAATTGTGCAGTCCAATTATGAGTATGTACTTGCTTTGTTGCGGACTTTAAGTTGCTCATGACTATGGTCTTGCCTGTTTGTTTAAACCAATGTGAAACAGGGAAGTTTAAACATTGAGGCCTATTCCACCATATGAAAATGAAAATATTTTTATTATTATTCTGGGATTGTTGTCCCTTTAGAATAAATTATTAGTACAGGGTAAATTTCAGTGTGGCCATACATAAATTACAGGATGGCCCTTGCCTTTATACTGGTAGGATCGGTGTTCTTCTGTTTTCCAAAGTTATAACTGTGCTATTACAAGTTGTGTTACTTATAGTTCTTATTACATTTATTAAAGATTATCAGTGCTCTAATTATTGACTGTTTTGCTGATATTCCAAGTTATTATTCCTTAACAAACAAAAAGGTAAGTAATCACTTTAGAGTTTATTGAGACAGTGGAGCTAGAGATTAGGACAGAGCTTAAGCCCCACTATATCTCCGACTTCTCTCGTCCCCCAATTACTCTATAACGTTGTTCAGTTACTTTATGATGGCGCTGTGCCCGAAACGCAATAATACGATTAGCATAGAAGATGAGGCTATATTAGTTTGCTCTACATGCAAACCAATTTACCATAAAAATGCAATATCGCTGAGACTGATGTATCATGGAAATTAAAAAAGAATTGGTTCTGCCACATGTGTGTAAAGTCCCTCAGTAAGAACCAAGCTACAATGGCCACTGAGATGTCAACGGAGAGCCAATACCTTTGTATTGGCCGAGGTAAAAAAGATAGCCGGGGATATCAAAGAAGTCAAGATATTGCTAGGAAAGCAGAGTGACCTAACGTTTGAAAATAGCGAGAGATTGAGAAAGCTAGAAGAGTTAGCACTCAAACAAGAAAAAATTACCGAAATCTTACTGAGTGAGAATAAAACTCATAAATCGTAAATACATGTCATTGAGGTTAGGCTTAATGAAGCAGAACAAGCCCAGTTGGCAAACATGGCTAATCTGGATGAAATGACAGAGGACCTAGTTTGCTACATAGGGGCAGCTCTAGGTATAAATTAAACGTTGAGGAGCTAGACTTAGTGGAGAGAAAAAGTTGCAGAAGAGAAGACGCTCGGCCACTGCCCATTGTCCTGCGGTTCGCGATGATGAGATCATTCGTTTGCAGAAAGTAAAGAGGGATTTCTCAACAAGACATGTATGCAGGGACACAGACGCGAGGATATACATAGGCGAAGAAAGGAGCCCTAGGCAACAAACACTTATACAGGTTGGCAAGGCAGAAAAGAGTAGCAGGGAAGCTGAAGTACATCTGGTTTGCCAGAGGAAAAATTAAATATAGAAGAGAGGACGCCTTCCCTGTCAATATCATTTACAAAAAAGAAGATATTGAAGCCATAGAATGAAATATGTTTCAGCATTCCCCCAACTCTTATTTTTTAAGTCCTTTATTTTTATTTTTTAACTTTTGTTACTTATGCAGTTGTTCTTTTAACTTTTTTATTATTATTTTGAAAGGTAGAAGGTTTTTTTATTTTAAATTAAACATTACTTTTTTTCTATGTTCATTCCTCCATATGTTTGTTAATTAAAATTTACATTTATTTTTCTGTTTTATTATTTTCTTTATTTTACAATATACTGTTTAAAAATGTACCCTCTCCTGTAATATTAACTTTGGTCTGTCCCATCCTACTGTTTGTCCTTTATTCAATTCCTTAATGATTAATACCTCAATCTCCTGCTATGTTCACTCCCAATCCCTTCCAGTACATTATGACAAATTCCTAGATTATTTTCACCACAATTATTGCTACCATATTATTGCCATTTCCGAAACTTGGCTCAAACCTGTATCCCCTCACCATCTGTTTCCTTACCCGACTATACCCCCTTTGTCATGATGAAGCGGATCGATCCGGGGAGGTGTCGGTCTGTTCATTCATGATAGTTTGAGGGCTAAAATCCTTTTAAAATCTCCATCTTCCGACATCCCGCACATTGAATAACTATTTGTCTTAGTTTTCTCTAGAACCTTCCCCTACTCTACATCGTTATTTACCGCCCTCCTCGTTTCCAATTTTATCACACATTTGAATCCTCCCTCCTTACATATAGTCCTGTTTAAAAATATTATTATTGCAGGCAATCTCAACACCAAACTCCTTTCGGTCTCTCCGGACATAACATACCTTATTGACCTGTTTTTCTCCCTAGACCTATTTATTGTATCTTTTCTACGGACCCATCATACCTAGTCTATTGATAATTGGTTAGACTTATTTATCATTGATTTAACTCGAAACCTATTATCCTTCTCACATAAACCTGTGTCCTTTCTCTCATTCTATGATCTTATCGAAATCTTATACAATGTTATTATTCCTATCCTTGTTCTCAAACAAAATTCCTGGAGAGATCCTGATTCCCTAACCATTGAAAACATCAGACCTTATCTCGATTCCTTAGAACCCATCTACTCCCTTTCCTCCATCAATGACATGGTGGAATACCTTTCCTCTAACCTTCTTGATTTCTTCCTTGACCATCATGCTCCTCTTAAACTTTTAGATGTCCTTCTGCTCCTTGTATAAATTCAGAAATTAGAGAGTTGTTGAGAGGAAGAGAGGCTGTCAGAAGATAATATAGTCGTATACGACTGCCCCAACACTATACTATCTTCAAATCCCTACGAAACAGCACACAAATATCCCTACGTCAGGCCAAAGTGTAGTACTTTAAATATGTACTATCCACTTAACACTTAATCATAAATCCAAATAGACAATCCTTAGGAACCCCTCTGTCATAAGCTCCAAAATTTGCACACTTTATCCAGTAGATCCAAAGGAATTAAATTCCTTTTTCACAAACCACCCTCCTTCTGTATTCACATCTGACCTCTTACCTTTTTCCATCACTGAAACCTACTTTGACCCATATAAGTTTTTTTTTCTTGATATTTCCCCAACTGACCTACTCTCTACTATCCTTACATCCAAAACCAATGGCCATGGTCCTGACCAAATACCTGTGAAAACCATTAAACTCTGCCTTTCTACCTTACTTCCTATACTCCTAAACATCTACAATTTTTCCTAAAGCCTGGAAAAAGTCATTGGCTGGCCATTAAACAAAGTTTCTACTCCTTCCTAGAAGGAGTCCTAATTCCTTCGATTCCGTGATTCCATTACAAAAAAACCAGACAGCTCCTTGTAACATCTCTTGTTTTTCCCACTTTGACTACTGTTGCTTGGTGTTTGGAGGGCTGACCACAGGATTGAAGGCGAGACTGAAGAAACTGAATTGCTTCATAAGATTCATCTTTGGGATTCCCAAACGTTTTCATGTTTCCTATTGGTACACAGAGTTGAAGTGGCTTTATCCTACTTCCCGACGAAAATTCCTTCTTGGTGTTTTCTTTTTCCAAGTCCGGGGGACCAAAAAC